GCTGAACCCAAGATCACCTAGATTTTCTCCGATGTTATCTTCTAGAAGTTTTATCGATTTGTGTTTTACATTTAGTTCTATGATCCATTTTGAGTTAATTTTTGTGAATGGTGTAAAGTCAGTGTTTAGATTTTTTTTTTATTTTTTTTTTTGCATGTAGATGTCCAGTTCTTCCAGCACTATTTTTTGAAAAGACTTTCCTTTCTCCACTGACTTGATTCTGCTCTTCTGTCAGAGATCAGTTGACCATATTTGTGTGGATCTACTTCTGGGTTCTCTAATTCATTCCACTCATTTGTCTATTCCTTTGCTAATGACACCCTGTCTTGGTTATTGTAGCTTTATGATAAGTCTTGAGGTTGGGTAGGGTCAATCCCCTGACATTGTTCTTTCTCTTTGTTATTTGTGTTGGTTATTCTGGGTCTTTGTCTCTCCATATAAACGTCAGAATCAGCCTGTTGATAGTCACAAAATAATTTGCTGGGATTTTGATTGAGATTTCATTGAAGCTATGGACCAAGTTGGGAAGAAATGACATCTAATAGTATTGAGTCTTCCTATTTATGAGCATGGAATATCTCTTCACTTATTCTGATTTCCCTTGATTTTTCTCATCATAATTTTATAGTTTTCCTCATAAATACCTTGTACAGATTTTGCTAGGTTTATTCCTAAGTACTTAGTACCTTTTATCTTCTTCCCTTTTGTTTGTGTGTGTGTGTGTGTGTGTGTGTGTGTGTGTGTGTGTGCTGGTGAGGGCTGAATAGGTGGAGCACAGGGGATTTTTAGGGCAGTGCAACTATTTTTGACAGTGTGGGTACAGGACATTATGTGTGTGTCAAAACCCATAGAACTGTACAATACAAAGAGTGAACCCTAATGTAAACTGTGGACTTTAGTTAATAATAATGTATCAATATCAGTTCATTAATTGTAACAAATGTACCACACTAATGCAAGATGTTAATAATAGGAGAAACTAAACCAGCGAGAGAGGGTTATATGGGACTCTCTGTACTATCTTTTCAATATTCTGTAAGCCTAAAACTGCTCTAAAAAAAAACAATAGTCTACTAATAAAAAAGTACCAATTCCAGGGCTTCCCTGGTGGCGCAGTGGTTGAGAGTCCGCCTGCCGATGCAGGGGACACGGGTTCGTGCCCCGGTCCGGGAAGATCCCACATGCCGCGGAGCGGCTGGGCCCGTGAGCCATGGCCGCTGAGCCTGCGCGCCACCACGGGAGAGGCCACAACAGTGAGAGGCCTGCGTACCGAAAAAAAAAAACGTACCAATTCCAAATGGAATGGAGCCCCTCGTAAAGTCTTCCAGTGGCTCCTCCTTGCTTACAGGATCAAGCCTACAATCCCTCATCAAGCACAGGAGTCCTCCACAGTTTGGCTGCCCCTAGAGTCCATGGGCCACTCCACCCTCTACAGTGCAGCTGAACTGAATCACTCAGGGTCCATGAGGGCACCTGGGACTATGCCCTACTCGCTTGGCCTTGTACATCGTCCCTTCCTTTCCTGGTCTGTAAATGTCCTGAAGAAGCTTCTGCAGATTTCAGTTTGGGAACACAGAGGAATGATAAGCACCTGCTTCATAACATCACCTATTGTGCTTCGGACAGGACCTCTTCCCTTTCTGTCTCCTGTACTAAACTGAGTATACCCTGCTGGCCTCAGCCTGGTTCTCTCCAAATGCACAAACAGAATAATCACAAAATCTCACTAGTGAAACTATTGTTCCCACAGTATTGAACCACAGTTCCCAAACTGTGCATCAGGGCACCTTAGGGTGCCACAGCAAAGTCACAGGAGCACAGTAGGATATTATAAATTTAGAGTTACTCAGCATCTGTTGGCTACCGAGAGGACTACTAGCTCAAGGTGGTTCAGAGTTTTATCATTAGATTGCACTACGTTCCTTTGATTATGTCATCTTTGAGAAGCTGGGTTTTTAGCGGTTGCTGTGATATAAAGCAAATGAAAGTCAGTGTGGGACAGGAAATGAAGGTGGTGGGGTCCAATCTGATTAGAAAGTCTGACAAGTTTTACAGCACCCCACAAGCACACAGATTCCGTTAGTTATTGTACTTCTTCAAGAATGAAATAAAAATAGTTTCCTCTAACTTATATGTAATAATTTTTTAAATGACTAACTTGGTAGGACATAAATTATTCTTAAGTGATCCGGGCTTAACTAACACATTGAAATGTTAGGTATTTCTTTTGGCTTAGGGGGTCCATGAAAAAACTACTGAGACACTAATGGTTCAGTGAGCTGAGAAAGTTTGGGAACCTCTGGTCTAAGAAATCCTCTAATCCAGAGCCCATCAAGAAACTGCACGTAGTGAAATCAACTTAGTGGGTTATAGTCAGCATTTTTTTCTCCTTAATAGAATGGTAAACAGAACACATTGCATGTAGCAAGCATATTATTGTGTAAAACTTATGTTAAGTATATACATACAAATTAGCGTGGGTATCTTGGGTCACAATGTAAAATGTGTATTTCTTGTTTGGGTTGTGATTTTAAAAGTTTGAAAAACCGCTAAGACTTCAACCTCCTTATTTTACAGATGAGAAAACAGCCCAGAGAGTGAAAGCTGATTATTATTGCAGATCACAGCCACCAGTGCCGGGCTCTGCACTTGGCCCTGCTAGGCTGGTGACCCTCCAAGGCAGGCCTTATTCTACCCAGTAGAGGTGTGGTTACTCAGAGTCACAGAGCTACAGAGGTGAGATACTCTCACTTTGATCCCAAGACGCATTTGCACCCCACAAATGCCACCAGCCACACCTAGAACAAAATGGTTTTAATCAATTGCGTCACCCTCACTCTCCTGGGAGCGGAGCAACAAAAAGGCTCGGCTCCTGCCCCCAGAGGACAGTAAGGCTTATGTGTCTCTCCACACGGCAGGGCCCAGGCTGGGCAGGCAGGAGGCAGGGACAGAGGAAATGGCGGGTGGCTCGAACACAGGAAAGCAAAGGGGCCCCTGCTAGTCCTTGGGCCCCAGGGCCCAGCCCCAGTACTCCCGCTCTCCCCTCCCAGCTGGAGAAAGGTCGTGGAGAAGAGACAGGGGAGCAAGTCCCAGCAGCAGGAGAAGCAGCAGCAGCTGTTCCCTTCACCAATAAATATACTTCATTACCAAGCTAGGAGAGAGGGGTGGGAAGAGGGGCGGGGGAGAGGAAGGGGGAGAGGCTGCCACCTGTGTTGCTGGGATTAAAGCAATGACGAGATGGTGCCAGACCCCCACCACTATCCTCACCACCCCCCACGCCCACCCCTCATCTTCTCAAAACTGTGAAAAAGCTTTTAACATGGCCCTGCTGTCTACAGGGCTTTTCTGAAGCCTGGCCGAGAGGAGGCACCTGGCAGAGTCAGGGCGGAGGGAGGGAGGGAGGGAGGAGGCCTGTGAGGATGCAGGTGGTGGGAGTCCCTCAACCGAGAAGTGGTGGTGCTGTGTCAGCAGACGGTGCTCATTCTTGAAAATGCTTTGCGTTTTTTGGGCATGGGTGTCTGACTTGAGACAGGCTAGGGAGGGAGGGAGGGAGGGAGGGAGGGAGGGAGGCTGCTTCTCCCCAGAGGCTGCAGCTGGAGGGCTGGAGCCAAGTGAGCCCTGAGGGGAGTGAGGAGGGAGAGGGGAGGAAGGATGAACCAACTGCAGGAGCAGCTCCTGAGCTGAGAGCCAAGGGGGCAAAGAGGGAGGTCTGGTGAGTGGTGGGGTGACCGCTGCATCCAGTGTAAAGCTCAGGCTGCTGAGGGAGGGAGGGGGCTGAGTTAGGGACTTCCCTATCCGAGTGGCTCAGGAGACCCACCCCCTCCCCCCAGAGCAGCAGGGGGCAGAGAAAAGCCATCACTTCTTTGGTCTTTGTGGCGGCTCAGCATGTGGGATAGGAGGGAGGGCATGGAGGGCCTGGAAGGCTCCTAGCAGGGAGTGCCATCTCAGCAAGAGGAGGCCTGGCTGGGAGCTCTGGCAGAAAGGTCACAGTGAGGCTGAAGAGCGCCCGAAGGAAGAGTGGCCCTCCAGAGTGCAGAAGGGCTGGCACAGATGGGTGGGGAATGGTGTGGTGCCCCACACTGCCAGGGCCCTTGGGAAAGGCTAAGCCCCCAGGGGTGGCCAGTGAGGGCGGGCGCAGGACCCAGAGCCAGTGCCTGGGAGGAGGGCAGGGATGCTGTACTGCAAGGAAGCAGTGGCTTGACCTTGCCCCTCCAGGGCTCCCATCCTTACTTCTGTTTCCACCCTGACAGAGTGGCTCTGCAAGGAAGGGGGCACCCTATGCTTTTTCAGAACCTTCCCTGAAGACCAGGAGGGAGCTAGCCTTGCCCACCAGAAGCGAGAATGGTAACAGGTCAAGGCTAGCCCTTATGGACTGGGAATTCCACTCCCCTTTCTGCTGCCAACTGAAGGGTAGGTCAGTCCTTGAAGACAGCTTCAGCCCTTGCCTCCCCACCCGAGGCAGGCCGGAGCCCTCCAGGGACACGGAAGTGCAAGGTGGTGGTGGGCATATGGAGGGGCTTCTCCTCCTGCTCTTCTGCTCAGGGCTGGGGCCAGTCAAGGGGCAATTGCCCAAAAGTCCAAAAGCCAGCAAGTTGTAGCAATCCCCACCCCCAATGCCAAACTAACAAACAAAACAGGGAAAAGGAAAAAATGGGGGGAAGGGGAAGACAAACCAAAACAGAGCCCCCTGACCTCCTGCCCAGGGGTGGAGGTCCCAGCCGGTAGCAGGGGCTGGGGACCAGGGCTAGGAGGGCCTAGCTGGGCCGGCACTGCACCTGGCCCTCGGAGCTGTCCTCATCGTCAGAGGCCCCAGCACCTGCACTGCTCAGGCCTGTGATCCGATAGCCCATGTTGAGCAGCATCACCTCCAACGGGTCCGCATTCATGCGCCGCTGGTTGGCCTGGGAAGCACCCTCCATGTCCTCCACAACTCGGCCTGTGAGGTCTTCACTCTGTGTGGGGGGAGGCACACATACTGCTGGGATATATGTGCAGGGGACACACACACACAGACTGAGCTATACGTATGGAGAGGGTATGTACATACCAGGAGATGTATATGGGTATATCCATGTGTGTCCATGCGTAGAGGGGAACGCATACTGGGATATGTATGGGACAAACACACGCACACGTGCGTATGTGCGCGCACACACACACACACACACCAGGCTGTATGTGAGGGAGATGACACACCACACGGGGTTGTACATATTGGGGTTGGGGGGCACGTGGTAATATATACTCAGAGGAGACACAACATACTGGGATATAAACTGGGGGGAATACACATAGCTGGGTATACACTGGAGACCCCACGCTGGAAAATGATGAGGACATACCACATCAAGACATATACGGGGAGCACACCACGTAGGGTTATATATATGGGGGCGGCATACATGGACATAAATGAGGGAGGATTCACACCAGGATATGCTGGGCACACAAACTATATACCTGAGGTGGGAGCACAGATATAACTCCCCCCACCCCACTCTTTTGTTGCCACTCCCAAAGAGGATTCCTTTATCCTCCTTTTCCTCTCCCCCCAAGGGAAGGTCCTATAGGGTTTCTCTCTTTAAAATTCATAGAAAATTAGCCACAGCTCTTGACTTCTGTTTTGCCAGCTGGGAAAGGGGAGGAGGTCGGGCAGAGGGCAGGGGGCCAGCCCACCTGACTACCCACACTGACTACCACACCGTCCTAAGTGTCCCTGTGGGCTGCTGGACACACCACAGGCATCACTTCTTTAATCCTCAAAGCAACCTTCTGAGGTGGTAATGTCATTCCCATTCCAATGTACAGATGGTAAAAACCTGGATCAGAGATGGTTGAGTCCCTCAGGCAGTAAGTGGAGGGACCAGGATTCAAACTTAGGCCCATCAGACTCTAAAACCTACATACTTCTCGTGTGACTGAGGGACAGGACTCTGCACAGCTTCTGGGGGACACAAGGCAGTGGTATACGAGGGGCAGGGTACCTAGGGAGCCTCTGAGGTACCGTTCTCATGAAGTGGTGTTGGAGCTGATCTGGTTCCCTCCCTGCCCTCCCGCACCCAGTCCTTGGTTGCTGTTTCCCATGTGTGAGTCTCACCTGTGCCAGCTGGCTCAAGGATATGCCTCTGGAAGGCAGGAGACAACTCTTGCCCCTGGAATTGCCCACTTCATGTGGAGCTTTCAGAGCTTGCTGGCTCCCACCCTGATGCAGCCTGGGGCCCTGGGGTGAGAGCTTGCTCATCCTAGCAGCTCCTAGCCTCTGTATGACTCACTGCCCTTCCCAACCCTCATGGGCTCAGCTGGAGGCCTCGCGTAGGGTCCATCCCTACCTTCCTCCCTGTCTGGCATCTGCCACCTTGCCACACCCTCACCTCTGGCCGGGGGTTCCACAGCCGCACAACGGGGTCGATGCCGCTGGTGGCCAAGAAGCAGTAGCTGGGGTGTGGCTGCAGGCAGTTGACGATGGACTCGTCCCCCTGGAGCACGCGGACCAGGTTGGTGGTCTCCTTTTCCCAGATGAAGAAGGAGCCATCATCAGAGCCACTGACGATGTACTGAGCGTTGCTGGCGGGGGGGCAAAGGGCAGGGAGGTCAGGTGGGGTACTGCCCTGTGGCCTCAAGCAGAGGCTGCATGGCTTAGGGAAAGGGAGAGCAGGGAAGTCTGGAGCCACTCGGCCCCCCGAACTCTGGGGTCTTTACCTGACTTGGAACTCCCATGCACACGGTAATTCTCTCCACACTGCAGAGCGGTGTCACAGTTCAACTGTTCTCTTAAACTCAGGGTCAGGGACTGCCTAGGTCTCTCCTACTTACTCTCCCCCGAAGTACATTATAAGCACCCTGGGTGCCAGGACCAGATCGTGCATCTCTTAGGTCTCTGGGAACACTCCTGCCTAAGCCTTCCCTCAGTAGTCCTAGCCTTCCTGGATCTAGACCCTGAAATCCTACAGCACATCTGCCCCTGACACACCATTGACATTTAGAAGGGATCCTGACGGAGATTCTTAATTCACATTCGTGTATCTCGCCTACCCAAAGAAAGTACAGCATCTACAAAGGAGGGTTGGGGGTGATGGTGTCTGAGACGTGGGCTAGGTCTCTCAGTACTGGCGGCACAGTTCTAGGCACAAAAGATTGCCAAGACTGACAGCCTATGAGGGTGCCTTCCCAAGGCTCCAAGCAACCAGATAAAGAACCCAAGCTCTGGCACGTGGGGGCACGGGGAGCAGGAGGTGCGGGTAAGGAAGAGTCCAGGTGCTGCACCGGATGCTTTCTGGGTCACCTCATTAGTCCTTGTTATGGCCCCTTGAGTGGGGAGGGCTGGTTTCATTTCATAGGTGAAGAAACTGAGACCCACAGAGATGAAGCCATTTGCCCAAGGGTACAAAGGCAGAGCTGGGATGTGGGACTTTTCTGAAAGCATTGTGTCCCCATGCTCCACCACCCCCCCGCAACCTCCTGCTGCCAACTGGACTGTGCCCTCCTCCTCTTCAGGGCCTCAGACCTGCCGAAGAAATTGGCCTCCTTGATGTCTGTGGTGGTATTGCAGTGGCCACAGTAGCGGAACTGATAGTCGTAGCTTCGCTCCCGCAGCACCATCTCGTCCTCTGAGATGGAGTCCTTGCGGCTCGTGCTGCGGAGGCGGACGGGGCCGCTGCCACCACCACCAGCTCCCTTCTTCTCGTCTGAGGGCAGAGAACAAGGAAAGGTGAGAGTCCTGTCCCTCTCTCGCCTCCCCCACTTTTTCCCCACCCTTGACCCTGTTTTCGGTCCAAGCAGTAAGCAACGTAGGGCTACCCGTCTCTACCTCTTCCCTGGAAAACTGGGAACAACTATGAGAAAGAAGTATCTTTGGATCCTGGCCTTGAGGGTGTTCAAGAGGAGACCTCTGATGCCAAGAGGGCCTTGGCTTAGGTCCCTGAATAACGTCTGGAAGCCTCAAGGATGCACAGACCCAAGGTCTGTTTCTGTGGATGTGAGAGGCAGGGAGGGGAGGGTAAAGCACTGCCAAGAGAGCCTCGAGGGGGTGATTTTTCTAAATAGATCCATAGCTCTGAAGGCAGTAAGGTCCAAGCCCTCCCTCTCTAGAAGACGAGTTATCATGGATCCAAATGAGGTGCTAACCGGTTAAGTGCCTTGGGTAAAATCATACCTGTCTTCTTAGTGCCTTGTTCCTGCCTGCTTCAGGGCCTTGGCACATACTGGTCCCTCTGCCAGGAACTCTTTACCTCCCACAGCTACACTCTGCATCTAGTTGACTCTTCCTCTGCATCCTCAAGATCTCAGCCTGAATGTCTCTTCCTCAAGAACCCCAGACTGCCATCAAGCCCTCCCCACCACACCTGCACCCTAGCAGGGCCACAGGGCATTCTTTGTTTCTCCATCGCTTGGTTCCTTCACTAGGCTACAGACTCATGAATACAGAAATTCCATCTGACTTGTTCCCAGATATATTCCCAGGACCCAGCACAGTGCCTGGCACTGTTCAGACTAATGAATCAACCCATGGTTAGTAAACTGCAAAGGAGACAGGGAGGATCCATGTCTGCCCTCAGTGAGCTCCCCTCTCATGTTTGTATACCACACGACTACCTAGTTTACTCTCCAGTGCAACCCAGGTGAGCTGGGCAGGGCCTCGAATGCTCTCTGCAAATAAGGCAGCAGGTATGGAGAGGCTGTGCTTTGCCCAAGGTCAAATGGTTTCACATGGCAGAGCTGAGACTGGAACTGAGGCTCCACACCTGTGCCCAAGGCATTTCTACTGCCCTGTGCTGCTTCTTTTGCACCCATGCAAACTGGAGCAAGTGCACCCCAGCCAGCTACCCCGAACTCAGATCCCAATGGAATGGCCAAGGCCCTGTCTGTGAGCAGAAGAGAATGACCTGCGAGGCACACTGGGCTCAGCTGACTCCTATCCTGAGTCCCAGGGGGAATACACCAGGTGCCTTAAACATGTTATTGCTAATCCTTGTCTCAAAGAGACCAAGTGACTGTCTCAAAGTCATGTGGCTTCTCAATCAGTACGTGAGCCTAGGCCTCTCCTATCTCAGAACTATGTCCTCTCCAGAATGTCGTTGTAGCACCTCAAATAGAGTGACAGCAACCCCGCCTCAGTGCCGACTCACCACCATCATTTTTGGAGAAGAGGGCGGCCGTGATGTCGCGTCCCAGTGCATCACAAGCGCTGCTATGGGCCTGCTCCGGGAACTTCCCTTTGAAATCATCCAGGCACTCCAGGGCCTCAGCCACGTACTTGAGCTCAAAGAGGCATCGGGCCAGGCGGAAGTGCGCCTTCAGGTGGCATGGGTTTAGGGAAATGGCCTTGAGGCAGTCCCTCAGGGCATCGTAGTGGTCACCATCCCTGGGAAGGCAGGGGAATGTGGCTTGGAGGTGGGGTCACGCGACAAGCAGGGAGTCCCCATTCCGTCTCCTGCGCCTCCTGCGGCCATCCCAGCCCACCTTTGAGAGATCTCAGGGCAAGGGTACTTGAGGATGAAGAGAATCCTGGCTCAGCCCAGGCCTTGCTCCCCAGGAGACAGACTACGTTAAGGAGGCAAGCCAGGAGCCCCGAGGTCTTGGCAGGGTAGGTAGAGGGTGGGAGGTGGGTGTGAGGCAAAAACCAGTGTCCGGCTGCCCTCTGCTGGACACAGCATGCAACTGCGCACCCACTCACCCCAGGCACCAGCAGCTCTGCAGCAGAAGGCCTGGCATCTTGCCCGCCTCAGGCTCCCCAAGCTCTCCTTCTCCCTTCCTCTATCCACCTCCTCAAATCCCCCCGGCTGGCCTTCAAAGCCATGCCCAAGGCGGGATACCCTCAAGGACAGTTCTGTGCTCTGGGGAAGCCAAAAGGGCCAGGCTGGGGACTCAGCGTCTGACCAGCAGGCAGCAAGCCCTCAGCCAGACCCCCCTCTGTCCTGGCTGACTGATCCACAGCAGCTGTGGCCTCTACCTCCCAGGGCTGGAGGATGGGGCCTGACAGTCTGGCAGAGTCAGTTCTCTGGAAGCTGATGGCGGGGGGCAGGCATACACCAGGAGCTCCAAATCATCCACACTGACTTCTCCAAACTCCCAAAGCATGGATATGGGGAAGTGGGAATGGTTTTGGGGGGGTGGGGAGGGGCCAAAGAAAAAGCCCCTCCTTCTCCCACCCTGTGCCGGAATATAAAATACACCTTCCCCCAGCTCCACAGACCAGTTCCCACCTCTTATCTGGAGAGCCAGGCGGGTCACAGGAGCCACTTCTCCTTTGGGAGCTGTGGGGTTTTTTTTGTTTTTGTTTTCCTGCTGGGTTGAGGTGGGCCTAGGACCCAACCGTGCTAAGCAGCACTCCCTAGAGCTGACGTTCCCTCCACCAAGGCACAGCTCACAGCTCCCCTGCACGAGGCCAGAGCAGGCCCAACATGGGAGCTATCCTCCTGACCCTCCTTCTCCTACAGCACTCAGAGGAAGCATCCGGTCCTTGGAACAGCCATGCTCAGACCAGGAGCAAGCAGCTCAGCCAGGGTGGGGGCAGGCAGGAGACAGAGTGCTTCGATGGCGCGGCCTGCGTCAGAACGGGTGGCTGTGACGAAGGAGCAGGCGCTGTTTGGAAAGCCAATTACTGCCTGCAAGGTGGCCCTCAGAGCTCCTGGAGAGAGCCAGACCAGAGAGCAGCCAGGTGCCAGAGGGTGACCGCTCCCACTGCATCCAGGAGCAGATGGCAGCCCTGGGGAGACTGGCCCGGGACAGAATGTGACATTCTGGGGGTCACTGGCAGGCATGTGGGGCTGGGGAGAGAGCAGGCTGGCCCCAGGGCTCACCCATCCAGACTTACTGCCAGATCAATCTCCCTGAAAAGACAGCCCTCAGCACAGCCCTCTCCTGCTCAAAACTCTTCAGAAGCTGCCCATCGTCCACTGAATCAAGGCCAAAACGCCACCGCTCTGCATTCCAAGTCCTTCCCAGGCTGGCCCCAGGCTACCTCACAGACTCATCTCCTGCCAGTCCCAGCCCGAACCCTCTGCTCCAGCCAAATGGATTTGTTGTTCTGCAAACAAGCTCTTCAGTCAGCCCCCCACCCCCACGCCTTTGTTCACACCATTTCATCTCCCTGGGAATGTCCTTCCCCCAGTCCCCTCCTCCTTGCATCTCCGTCTAAGCCTGCTGACACTGAAAGCCCATTCAGACATCACATCTTCCTGGTGCTTCCCTGATCCCCAGTTAAAGTGACCTAACTTTTCTTGATGCCCACAGCACTTCACCTGATCATTCAAAGACTTACTGCTTCCTGCCTCTTTGGTGATGAAGCATGTCCACATCTTTATCCCCTGTCCAGAGACTGGGCACTCCGGAGCACAAGAACTCAGAGTGACAGAACTTTGTGTCCCTAGTTCCTAGTGCATAGTAGGAATTCAGAGAACACGTTGAGGGTACCCATGGATTGGGAAATCATCAGTCTCTCTTAGCAAGAATGCAGGAATGAGACAGCTCTTAGCCTAGAGCCTGGTTGAACACCACTGCATTCTACCCACCTGCTGGGAAAGAGGGGCAACACACCTCAGGATGGCCCCAAAGCTGTTGTCTCCTGGGGTTGGCTGCCATCTGAGCCCTTGGGAAGCTCCTGATGCCTGAGCTAAGGCCCGTGGGGGCAGCAGCATTCTGAACCCCCATCCACCATCCTGCTGACTTGGGTGGGTTTCTTAAGCTTCCCTCTCTGGCCTGACTAGTTGCAGCCAGACGATGGCACACCAGCTGGCCTGTCTGTCTGGGCAGAGCCAAGGGATGCCAGACGGAGCAGAAATGGCTGTGGGCCCAGCTTTATCCATCTCCCATCCTGGCCCTGGCTGGGGGATGGGGTCTGCCTGCCTGCTTGCCTGCTGGTGCTGCAGGCAGAAGGGCCGGGGGCCCTGGTGGTCTCCAAAGATAAAGGGTTCTTCAGGATATGGACCTACTACTCCCTTACCACCAGCCACTACAACTCAGCAAGACCCACAGACAGCTTTGGATGTCTAGGATCTTGTTTGTGTTTGGTCCAAACGGTCCAAGAGCGTAGGAAAGCAAGCCCCAAGGTCAAGGAGCTGCAGAATCATTTCAAACAGATACCAACTGAATTCACCAAATGCCTCATTTCCATCTAGCAAGATTCTACTGCTCCTTCAAAGTCCAATTCAAGGCGCAATTCTCCAAGAGTGGGGATTAACCATTCTCCCAATTCCTACTTCCAGTGGTCACAGCACTTTCTAACGAAGCACCATGTTGAAGCTACTTGTGAACATGTTCCACTTAACTGTGAGCTTTCTTGGTGTTTGAGGCTTCCTGACTAATGAGTCAGGCACTTGCCCACCACTAACCTGGAGGTGGGGAGGAGAAGCCTGGGCCTAAGAAGCCCTAAGAGGCAGCAGGATGTCACTGCTACCTTCCATGGATGCCTCAACAGTTTGTTTCCATCAGGCCCACTCACCACTTGCGCTTCATGTAGGCAGCAGCTCGGTTCCCGTAGAGCATGGCGTTGTGAGGGGCCCTCTGCACGGCCTTGCTGTAAAGCTGAATGGCCTGGGTCCACTGCTGGCAGGCAAAAGCCTCATTGGCTTGCTGTTTCACACGCTCCAGGTATGGGGGCAGCTCTACTTGGGGGCTGTGGGGGAAGCAGAGCCAAGTCAGGCCAACCAAGGAAGGCCAGAGAAGCCTCTCAGGAAGTCTGTAGCCCTGCCTGAAGGCCACTCAGGTTTTCTTGGTCCCTGGGATCTGCACTGTCATCTAAAAGAGGGTACCACTCCTATCCTTGGCCTGGGTTATTGTGATAGGTGATGGTCACAATTCCAGATGCTCTGAGCCAGTGGGGGAAAAAAAAACAGGGAGAAATGAAGCTGTCCTGGACAGGTTTAATGGAATTCTTAATCAAACTCCTGGGCATGAAAGTAGCTGAAACCTACAGCCTCCAACGAGCCGAACCTCGTTACCACCCAAGTGCCTCTCATGGATCTCTCTATAGATAATTACGTTTCTCTCAAGGGCTAGAGGATCTGGGCACCTCTGTATCCAAAGCCCAGCACAGGGCCTGGAAGTGAACAGAGGCTAGAAGATGCTATGAATGGAGAGAATATAATGGGGGAGGCCCATCTGTGTGGGACCCCTTTATAGGAGGGAGCCCAGTGCTAAGAGGAGCTATTAGCCCCTGGGTCCTGACGCCGGCTACTGGGATCAAGGGACCAGAGCTCCAGATTGAGCATGACTGCAGTCCTACCAGGAAGAAGTGGCACTGGGACCACTAGCCACAGTCCAGAAGCCTCTTTGCCCCAGTCCCCTGACTCTGGGGTGTATGCCTGGGTGGGGGTCAGGAGGAAGGTTTACAGGACATGCCCTCCCTCCAGTCCAGTGGGGTGTAACTGGGGCTGGGAAGGTTGGGAAGGTCAGGCTGGCCTCACCTGACATGTCCTCTACTCTCTGGCAGCCGGAAGCCGTTGCTGTGAAGGTGCAGGCCATTGGACACACCGTTGGACACACCATTGGTGGACATCTTGCCATTCTGAACTTCTGGGAGGGGGTGGGCAGAAAGGAACAGCAACAACTTAGGAGGAGGTTCTCATTTCTCCTCAGCAGCCCTCCAGCTTCCACCACAGGGTCTGATGGTTCCATTGTGGGGCTATCCCCCCAGGGTAGGTCTATTCCCAGAAAGCAGGCAAGGACATAAAGAAAAGCCTGTGCGCCCTCTGCTGGCTGAAGCGGGACACAACTTCAACTTGGCATTAGCTGGGGGTGGGGATGGGAGTGCGGGGGTGAGGAGGTGCCTAAAGCAACTGTAGGCCCCAGGAAGAAATCAATGAGGAGACTGGTCCAGGACGAGAAGGGAAAGACAATTACTCCAGGCCCTCAAGAGCCAAGCCACGGAAAGAACCTGCTTTTTCGGAGGGAAGTGAAAAGGGCTGTGACGCAAACCCCTTTGACAGACCTCTCTGACCTAATATTACCTTCCTTCTTACTGTACAGTGTTATTTCAGAGAATCTACTCCTTTTGCAGGATCACAGTCAGCACAAGGTAAGTGGCAGGCTTCTCAGCAGAGGCACTGTACACTCATGGTCCCCAGCAGAGATGCCCTAAAGGATACCCGAAGGGAGAACTTACCCCCTGAGGAGTGGCATTTTCTAGGCAAGAGGAAGGTGTACGGCCGCTGCTTGTAAGTCAGGTCAAACAAATAGACCTAGAGTGCAGGGGTCAAGAAAAGAATGGACACTGTGAGGCAAGGAAGGTGGCTGGACTGTGAGCGAGGCCTGGGTGGCTCCCAGGAACACAGCTGAGTGTTGAGAAGGGAACCATCAAGTGAGGGAGAAGGGGTGTTTCTACGGAGCAAACCTCAGGCAGGAAAATCTCGCCAGTTCCTGGCCCTTAGGGTGGATGGCCTGAAATACTGTCATTACTGTGAATCACATGTTTATTATGTCAACAAGGTCCTCAGAGGTCTCATGTTATAGATGGGAAAACTGAAGCCTCAGAGCAGAGAAGCAATTTGCCCAAAGTAACACTGCTAGTTACTTCCCTCAGTAAATATTAGCTATTATTACTTACTATTTATTGAATTCTTACTTTGCTCCAGGACCTCTGCTAAGTGTTTTATATGGCTTTCTTTCATTTCATCCTAGAACCCCACCCCCCACGAAAAGGTACTATTATCATCACCCCCTAAACAGATGAAGAAATGTAGGCTCAGAGTTTAATTTATCCAGGGCCATAAAAGCAGCAGGTGGCACAGTCAGGACCCAAAACCGAGTCTGTCTGGCTCCGAACCACTCTGCTAGACTGCCTCGCCACTCATCTTTATGCTACCTTTAAGCCAGGTGACAGCTAAGCAACCTGAAGCCAGAGCCCTCTTCTGAACTCAAAGGCTCACCTAGTCTCCATCCCATTTCTCTTGTGTCACACCTTGACTTTAAATGTCATCAACGGTTTCATTTGCCATGTAGCTCCCATCAGCCTAGGATGGATCATATTTCACATTTGTTTCCCCCGTGTTTATGATAATGCTACCCCCAGAATAAGTACTCAGTGACTTTGTAGAGTAAATGAATTTTTGCAAGGATTACTTAATAGGGCTTCCCTGGTGGCGCAGTGGTTGAGAGTCCGCCTGCCGATTCAGGGAACACGGGTTTGTGCCCCTGTCCGGGAAGATCCCATATGCCGCGGAGCGGCTGGGCCCGTGAGCCATGGCCGCTGAGCCCGTGCGTCCGGAGCCTGTGCCCCGCAACGGGAGAGGCCACAACAGTGAGAGGCCCGCGGACCGCAAAAAAAAAAAAAAAAAAAAAAAAAAAAAAAAAAAAAAAAAAAAAAAAAAAAAAAAAAAAAAAAAAAAAAAAAAAAAAAAAAAAAAAAAGGATTACTTAATATCCTGACTGAGAGATTGTAAACAGAAGGGTTAGCAACCTGCCGTTATCAAAGAACACTTCCCAAAGCTGGCCCCAAACTGCAGCCTGGCTGCATGCTCTGAGCCCCAGCATTTCCTCCTAGGAAAATAGAAGATGAGGAAACCAAGGTTCAGGAAAATGAAGAGAGGTGTTCAAAGTCACAGTACAGAGCTAGTAAACAAAAGGCCAGCATCTGAAGTCAAGTCTGTCAGTTCTAAACCTTACACTCAAGGCCAGGGCACCTCTCTGGGAATTCCAAAGATGCCATGGCACTTCCACATTTCACAGTAACGTCATTTACAATGAGGCTTCTTGTGTGCCTCATGGTAGGGGATGTGGGGTACACAGCCCTGGCTGCTGGATATGAGGGTGGGCGGGGGGAGGGCAGAGCCACGTTGGGCTGCCGCCCATACCTGCTCTCCTCCCATGTTGACCAGCAGCTCTGTGCCATTGGGGCTGAAGGTCACATAGGTGGCGACCAGCACTCTCAGACGGTTGTTGTAGTCGGGCAGCTTCACTGGCAGGTGACCTGCAGGGAACAGCCCTGTTACCCTAGTGTGAGGCTTCCAATCCCTCCCAATGTTGAGCCCTTACTATATGAACTGGGCCAACTGTGTTATATGCTTTATCTCATTGAGTCATTACAACCCTATTTTACAGAAAAGAAATTAAGACTCCTCAAGGGTAAGTAATTTACCAAAGGTTATATGATAGCTGGTCACTGACAGTCATCAAAGCCCAGGTCTGTCTGATTCTAAACCCCTTGCTCTTGGTCATCATGCCATGCTGCCTCCTTGCACTGCCCCACAGACAATCAGCACCCTGCCAAGAGTTTAGGGCCAGAGTTGGGCTGAGCCCTACCTGCTACGTAATACTGGGCTGCACCATCCGGAAGGGGCTTCTGCCGGTCACAGAAGGTGTGCACACCTGCTGAAGGGCTCTGCTTCATGCTCTTTCTGGTGGGAAGGCAAACCATATAGGTTATAAGGCCTAACAGTACTCCTGGCTAGACCATACCACACTTCCTGGAGAAAAACCCAAGTGTATATCCCTGGAGAGATACAGGAGGAGGTACCTCTCTTCCTTATCTCAGCACCCCCAAAGGTCCACCAACTAGACAGCTGTGGACACATACATTACAGTGCTTTATAAGTAGGTCCTGCCTACTTGTCTTGGTTCATGGCCACCCTATTATTCCCATTTTACAGATGAAGAAGCTAAAAGCTCAAGGCCCGCCCTAAGTCATGCAGCGTGTGAAGAGCAATAGTGGTCACCCAAATCCACAAAGGAAAGTAATGCAGGCCAGAAGTTTCTGCACTTGTCCCAGGAGTCCACTGAAAACCCAGGCTGGCGGAGCCGCTCAGGTCTGGGACTTCTGTGGAGATTCTGAGTATATTCTACTTTTGTTTAAAAAAAAAAAGAATAAGGTAGAATTATATGTACAAATAAAGGAATTACATGTATAAGATTATAACTCTGTATACACACTCATAGTGAAAGAACAAGCAGAAAATACTATATACAGTGATTTCTTTCAGGTAATGAAGTATGGGTAATTTCTTTAGTATACTTTTCATATTTTCCAAAATAAGCATGGATTAAATTTTTTTAAAAAGAATCACAAAATTAAAAAAACCCACCTCCGGGCTTCCCTGGTGGCACAGTGGTTAAGAACCTGCCTGCCAATGCAGGGGACATGGGTTGGAGCCCTGGTCCGGGAAGATCCCACATGCCGTGAAGCAACTAAGCCCATGTGCCACAACTACTGAGCCTGTGCTCTAGAGCCCGCGAGCCGCAACTACTGAGCCCACGTGCCACAACTACTGAAGCCTGCGCGCCTAGAGCCTGTGCTCTGCAACAAGAGAAGCCACCGCAATAAGCCCGCGTGCCGCAACGAAGAGTAGACCCCGCTCGTTGCAACTAGAGAAAGCCCACGCACAGCAACGAAGACCCAATGCAGCCACAAATAAATAAATAAAATAGATACAACATTAAAGAAATAAAAAATGTAAAAAAAAAAGCAAAAACAACCCACCTCAAAAAGAAGAGGGCATGGCAATGAGGGAAAGGGGCAGCAGGTTCCGGGTTCCCTTGCCCACGGGAGGCCGCGCTATTCATACCTGTGGTTATGGATCATGCGAATGTCATAGAGCCTCACAAAGGGCCCACTGGCCCCCACTGCCAGGCAGTTGTTGTCCTGGGGGTTGACGGTGAGGCACTTGGCCTCCACCAGCTGGCCACAGTACTCTGTCAGGTCAATCAGCACCTCCGAGTGTTTGCTGTTCTCCCGAAGGTCATACTGGCTGTGAGAGAGGACACAGTGGGTTGGGGGTTGTGCCCGTGGGTGGAAGGCAGGGGAGAAGCCAAGGCCCAAATGCAAAGGAATTGGGAGTGGCTTTGAACCTGTTTGTAAATAATAAGAATGTCAAAAACTACTCCCATTTCTTGAGTGCCTACTGTGTGCCAGGCACCTGTAGTAGGCTTCACACATTCTGTTTTATTCTAACATAACTCTTTAAGGTAGATACTACTAAACCCTTTTTTTTAAAAAACAGATATCAATATTATTGTTACTAAGTACTATCACTACTGACTACTAACACTTAGTGAGAAATTGCTTTGTGTCCAGTATTGTTCCCAAGTGTTATACATGTATTATCTAATTAAATTCTCACACCATCTCTAGGTACCACTAGAAGTTCAAAGAAGCTAAATAACTTGCCTGGACGACACTGCAGTAAGTGCAGCACTGAGATAGTGCAGAGCTGGAAAGACTGCATTTTAACCCCTCTGCTCTGATCCTTGATTAAGAATAATTCTATTCTTAACCTAGTTTCTTGCAGGAGATGAAAGAAGTATAGAGGTGACAGAAAAGAAAATCTGGAGATCATCTAAGAGCTACCTAGAAACACCAACTGCCAGGACAAGCCCAAGTCCCATCCGGGTGGTAAAGGTCATGCCAAAACATCCACCCAGCGTCAGCACACTCCTACTGGGGAACTGCTTTGATGCTGGGACACAGGCACATCCAGAGAATGGCGAGGGCATCATTCATGTGCTCACCCACCTCCGCCTAAACATCTCCAATAATTTCTTCATTGTTCACTTATCTTTCTAAGCCATCCTCACCAGATTGCTCTTCCTAAAATATTGTTTTTGTTGCATCACTTTCTTGCTCAAAAAATTGCAGAGATTCCTCAATACTTTTAGCATGAGTTTACTCTTTGTTTACTTCTATCAAACTACTCAGTCTGGTTTTCAAGACATGATTTCACATACCTCTCCAACCTTGCTCCTCAGTTTTCTAAGTGTGGGTCAGTTACAGCCTCAGAACTGTGTCCTGTATGTGGCACGTTTACCCATGCCTTCACAAACTCTGCTCAAGCTGGGGAGTCCACTCTGCTTTTCCTTGCCCATCCAAATCCTGTCTATTCTGGAAGGCCAGCTTGTGTTCACCTTCTGCTAGGACTCCTCCCCTGACTGTGCCTGCCCCTAAGTGCTTAGGCTCCTGCCCCATGCCCTAGGTGCTTAGCCTCTACCTGCTGCCCTGGCACAGTCTAGTCAGTCAGGGTCAACCAGCACAACAGAGAGTTGGACCCGCCACCGACCAAGTGCACTGTGTCTGCTAAGTACTGTGGCTAAAGTTTTACGGGCACTATCTCAATTTTAATGCTCAGGCCAACAAAAGAGATATTATGATAATTCCCATTTTATAGATGAGGAAACTGAGGTCCGGGGGGGTGAAGTGATTTGCCCCAGACACTGAGTGACAGAGGGAGGACTTGACTTGATCTGTCTGAGTTCTAGCTCATGTATGACTTAGACACCCCTCCTGCTCTGTAACAGGGAAGAGGGCACAAAGCCCCATAGTATCTCAAAGAAGGCAATTAAAGCAGATTGTGGAGATAAGGAAAAAGTTCTAAGGTTATATGTGAAGAAAGGAGCTAAAGAAAGGGAATGAGACCATTTTAAGAAGAAGGGAAGTAGAGGCAAAGGTGTGACGATATAGGCCAGTGAAAAGGGGGAGAGTCCACTTAACCATTTCTGGCTGGCTATCCCCCTCCCAGGAATATGCCCATTGAGCGACTGTTCAAGGGAAATGTATCAAGTGCCTCTATGTGCCAGGTATTGTGCTGGGCTCTAGGAACACAACCAAGGACAAGAAAGACATGGACAAGACAGACAAAATGCTGAGGGAGTTTACTACTCAGTGAGGGACACAGACAAAAAAGTAAACCATCAAGTAAATAAAATAAAAGAACTATAGAGGGTGATTAGGGCTATAGAGGATACAATTAGGGCACGGAGACAAAGAACAATGGTGGGGGATCTATTTTAGATAGGATGGTCAGAGAAGGTGCTTCTCAGGAGGTGACTCTCAAGCTGTCTCCTTAGGGTAAGAAAGAGTTGAGAAAGAGCTGGGACTGAGAAAACCAGTTAGAGGGAACAGCAAGTATGAAAGCCCAGAGGAGGCAGACAGTGCATCTGAGATGGTGAGAAAGCCAGTGGGCTTGAATGTTGCTCAGGAGAGGGTAAGAAGTGGGGAAGGTGAAGAACAGGGTAGGTAAATCAGTGGAGTTTGTTCACTGATAACTGTGCTGGGCAGACAAATGAGGCTGGAACTCTGTTGAAGGGAAGGAGCCAGGCCTGTGGAAGGAAGCAGTAGGGCAGATAGGATGGGGGAACCGACATGGAGTGGGAGCCGGGGAGGCACAGGCCCCACTCCCTGCCTCAGGCCCTCACCGGATAAGCCCATCCTCAGCAGCGCTCCAGAATGTGTTGGGCCACATGGGCGCCGTGGCGATGCGTTTCACCCGGTTTGTGTGGTCTCCAAACATGTGGATCGTCTCCTTTACTGTCAGGTCGTGGACATGCACCTTGGAGTCAGCTGCCCCTGTGATCAAGATGCGGTCCCCAGCGTGAGGCAGGAACTGCTTGGGAGAGATTGAAGAAGAGGTTGGCAGGTGGTGGGGCTACAGGCCACGGAAGGAGACTAGCCTGGATGTTAGCACCTTTTTTTCCCTCTCCATATCAGATAAGAAAATGAGCCCATCCAAGACAATCCACCAAGAAAACTTTGGATCTCGAGTATCAGCCTGTAGGCCTAAAGGTCAAAATCAGGATGTACACCTTTATTTTGCCAGAGTGGTCCAGACCTGTGCCAAGCTGGACTATCTAAGGAACCCTCTTCCTCTGATTCTTCCCCAGGTAAGAACTGAATGGATGATAATCATAGCTGTTACCACTTGCTAAGCACTTACCATGTGCTAGACATCGAGCAGGTAATTTATCTTATTAATACTTACAATAACCCCATTAAAAATTGAGGTTCGGTACTAGCGTTCAGGAGGACTGTCAATTCAAACTCAAGTCCGTCTGACTCCTATATGCCTCATGATGGCTACTTAATAACCTGGGGGTTAAGTAATAAATTAGTCTTGAAATGAAAAGGACTTTCAGTGTTATAAGGGAGTGGGTGTTTTAAATTGGTTCAAATATTTCTGGAGAACAATCTGGCAATAGGTAAGAAACATAAAAACTATTTCTATCTTTTGACCTAAAACTTCCACTTCTGAGAAATAATTCTAAAAGAAAAAAGGGACCTATGCAGAAATGCTCCAAGTAGCACTCCTTATAATGGCAAGTGCTGGAAATGGCTCAAAAGTCAGAACTTGGGGAAGGGCTGAGCATCAAAAGAATACATCTTTATGTGGCCGTTATTCAAAAGGACAACCCCATCATTCTGATGAAGTTGAGAACAAAATATTCCAGATCACATATGGCAAGGTCAAAATAGCCACAAACATAACGTTGATTAATAATTTTTAAAACGTATACAGTTCTATCACCTAGTGTTGAGGAAGAAAAATATTCGGGTGTGGTATTAGTTGAGTTATTCTCGTCTTTCTTAAGTTTGAAAGATTGAGTTATCTTTTTTTCTTAGTTGAAAAGTTTCTCCCAGCCCACAACAAGGCTGAAAGGGTGCTGGGGTCTGGGGGGGTGGGGGAGAGGGTGTTGACATTTTCCTGCATTTAAGTAGCTAAAGCCCCACTTGACTTTAACAATTCACTCT